TGTGGAAATTGTCAAGAGTTGAAAAAACTTGTTACTTGTTTCAACTATATTCATTAAGAGTACAGGTTATGTAAGCAACTTATTGTCTAGGCATACCTCTATACAACTACCATTGTATTATTGAAAATACAGAGAGCCAAAGTAGAGAATTTTCATACCTTGTTGGTCACGTGACAATACATCTGAATTTTAAGTAGTTATTTTTAAAGGTTTCTCTTGAAATAAAGGACTTAACTGAGATAACATAAAACTTCCAATCATACCATGCATTATAAAGTTAATTTCATTCACATTAAAGGTGTTTAATTAAATTTTTAATGTAACACAGTGACGTGTGCAGAATAGGGTTTAAAGGGCTAGTCTATGATGAAGCAGTTTCTCATTGGAATGGCAGTACTTCTGTTTAAACATTTTAATATGTGAACATTAGATTAGTTCGATATACAGATTTATTTAGTTTTTTTTTTAATTTGTCTTTTTTTTATTATGTACACTTTTAGATTTGTGTGCTTTTCAAGTTAGAGTGTAGTAATTGATGTGTTTGATTATTCAACATTATACAACTTACAGTTAATTATACTCCTTGTAAGACATTAGTATTACGCCTATTATATTTTTTAACACTGCATTCTTTATCTAGTTCGTTAGGGACTTTCAAGAATTAGAAGAGTGTATAATAACAGTATTCTAATCCCACTATATTTGTCATACCCATTGCTGACAACACTTTTCACTCAATCCCAAGTAATTCAGGCTGCCTGGGATGCGACAAACACGGCAGTTGTCAGAACACCATTTATATAAACCATTTGTTACAGCAGTAATTGTTATGGTGTTAACACCTTTTACAAGCTGGAGAAGCATGATTATAATTCATTATAATTGTCATAAGACATTAGTATTAGGCCTAGTCTAGTTCCTTAGAGAATTTCAAGAATTAGAAGAGTTTATAATAATAGGCCTAATACTAATGTGTTATGACAAGTATAATGAATTATAATCATGAGTTGCCAGCTTGTAAAAGGCATTCACACCATAAAAATTGCTGTTATATCCCAGCCATCCTGAAGAGCTCTGGATTGAGGGAAACACATCATCAGCAGTGGGTATGATGAACATAATGTGGTTGGAATACTATTACTTTACATTCCTCTAATCTTCAAAAATCCCTGAGGGACTAGATGTAGAATGTAGTGTTTAAAAATATAATAGGCCTAATACTAATGTCTTATGACAAGTAAAATTAATTATAATTGTTGTGGTATACACCTTACATTTCTTCTGCTGTCTCTTGATTATTTTAAATTACAGACCTTATATTTGTTCTGCTATCTTTCCAGTTCTGTAGTGTAAGCACATACAGTTGTTCTGCTCTATTTTATTTATCTTATAAGGATATGTTTGTTTCAGGAAATATATCCTGGACAGTTCCAGCCTTCTCCAAGCCATAGGTTTATTCGATTGATTGAAGAACATGGGAAGCTACTCAGAAATTACACACAGAATATTGACACGTTAGAATATGCTGCAGGCATTAAAAGAGCTATTACATGCCATGGTGAGTTTCAGGGAAAAAGTTATAGTGTTTTGGTGGAGGAGAAAAGTCAAAGGTAAACTTCTGAGATTTAGTTTTGAAATTTCAGTTTTTCTTTTTTTTCTTTCTTTTTTTTGTAGAGTTATATTTCACCCAATTTTATTCGTTGTAACATTTAAAATGATTTTTGAATACATTTTTAGATTATAAATACACTTATAAAGGTTATTTTGACTGTGTTTGGGGTTTCAGAATAACTTAAACATATCGAGATGACTGAAACCATTGAAATATTGGAATTATGGCCGACAAACAGCATCAGCGTTAAGGGTATTCAATGGGAAGTTCGGTGCTCTATAGTCATTCTTCTGGTATTTTATTTGATAACATACAACACTTGTAGTTAGTTTTTGTAATCAGTTTTCTTCGTTAATATACTTTTAAATTTGTTTAGTTCTTATTTGTATAGATAGTTCATTTCAGTTAATAAGCTCTTGCCAGTACTGTGTTGATCATTATATCGTAAAGGTACTTCACTCGTAATTTGAGGGTCATGGATTCGAATCGCCATCCCACCAAACATGCTCACCACTTTCAGCCGTGGAGGTGTTAAAATGTGATGGTCAATCCCACTATTCATTGGTAAAAGAGTAGCTCAAGTGTTGGCGATGGGTGGTGATGACTAGCTGCTTTCCCTCTAGTATTTCACTGCTAAATTATAGACGGCTAGTGCAGATAGCCTTCATGTAGCTTTGTGCAAAATTCAAACAAACAAATAATTATATGGCTTGTTTCTTTTAAAAATGTAATTACCAAAAGATTGAATATCCCTTATATTGATATTTGAAAATTTGAGTTTAATGTTTTATACAGTTAGTAGTGTATAATAAAACTAGGTACTAAATGATTTCATGAATAATACCGGTTGTTGTCACACACTAAATGTATATCAGTCTACAAAAACTGATCATGAACTGTTGAGATAGAAAAACTTTATGCCTGGTCATATTTTGTTTAATACTTATGGCTCAGCAGTAAGCATGAGGACTTATATTGCTAAAATTTGGGGTGTGATCCATGTGATAGGCACGGCACACATAGCCTACTGTGCAACTGTGCGCTTAACAACAAACAAGCAGTAAGCGTGAGGACTTATATTGCTAAAATTTGGGGTGTGATCCATGTGATAGGCACGGCTCACGTAGCCTACTGTGCAACTGTGCACTTAACAACAAACAAGCATTTTATATTTTTAAAAAGTACAATGTTAAATTTAAAGTTTTTTGTTATTTTTCCAACAAGAGGCTGGCTAGTTTCTTCTCATATCTTTAACATTTTACTCAGCTGTATGCCTGTTGATTGTACTATTGTGTAATTGGTGTATTTGTGTCTTTTAGGTTCTTTTGCTACAGCCACCTGTACGAAGTGTGAATATAAAGTGGATTCCACAGTGATAAAAGAAGACATTTTTAATCAGGTTAGTAATGTTTTAAAATAATTGAACTCGATAAGTACAGAATATTCCACTAGTTATTGATTTTTTTTTATATCTTGTTAAAGGTTATAACAAATTTACAGTAAAAATCTACTCCATTAATTCATGGCTGTATTAAATTAACACTAAATATATTTCATTAGTTCATGGATGTATATGTCAAGAAATTACTACAGTGAATTAACTGTTTGAAAAACTTTACACTTTTTTTCTTGACTATTGTTATCAGGTCAGAGGTTTTAGTAAATTTTCATTATAAACCTCCCTCATATATTCATTGAATGTAGACGTAAAGTAAGACAATATAGCGTGTATTCCATAAGTTCATCAATGTGAAAACTTAAGTTCTTGTCAACTTAGAGTAAAAAATATAATTTTTTGTTTTGTACTTAATTACTCTGATGATTTTAAGTATCATCCCATATAACAAGAACTAACAGTTGCATTCTAAAGTACCTTCAAGAAATCGACGGTTCTTTATATATAAATCTATCAACAAACTTTAGATATTTGATGCTGCGTAATATTTAACAGAGTATTTAATTTAAAAGACAGTAAACAAGCGAATATTACGATGATGTTAAACCATTTAATCATTCACTTGTGAGTTTGGGACAAACTGTTAAGGAAAAAAATAAAAGTTTTAATTGTGGTTAAAATAAAGTGGAGGATAATGTAAAAAAAAAAAATAAATCTAAATTCCGAAGCCATTCTACACAGAGCTCACCAATTTCAGTTAAAGTCGGGATAATCTTATACTTGGAGACCTCTGCTTGAACGTGTGACTTGAAAACAGAAGTGTAAAGAGGTAATTACCGGTTAATAGATGAGGTAATCTTTTCTCTCAACATCTGATAAAATTTCATGCTTGTAAAGAATTTATTCTTAAAGAAATGTTTGGTTAATAGTTGAGGAATCTTTGAACTGAGTCATTAATAAGAGCCAGAAGATGGCATATTTAAGACAGGACAATGTTTTGTAACTGGAGTAATTTTTATGATTAGTTTGATAAAGACAGAATGATATGATTTTTTTTTTAAAATCGGGTTGCTGTATGACAATCCAAAGGTCTCTTAATACCTTTTCTCCAATAACCTTTTCAATAAGGTGTTGCAATGTGTAGTCGTTAATACCAGCTTTATTTATTTCATTACAGAGAATACCCAGCTGTCCAATGTGTCCCAAGGACAGTAATGGCCTAGGAGTTATGAAACCAGACATAGTATTTTTTGGAGAAGGGCTCTCGGATGAGTTTCATCAGACGATGGCCAGAGACAAGAACCAGTGTGATCTGCTTATTGTGATGGGTTCTTCTCTCAAAGTGAGGCCAGTAGCCCTCATTCCAAGTAAGAGTTCTATCTTCTTACACACAAGTTCTTGTCTAAGCTTTTTCTTCTCTCTCTTGTAATCTGAAATCTCTATTAACATTTGCAACTACATGATGCTTTCCGAGCTGGAGATTAACACGTGTCCTTTCGATTGAGTTATGCCCATGAAATCACCTTTTGTGAAATATATGTGATATAAGAAAAGACAGGTCTGATTCTTTCCATGTTAATTTTTCTGATTTCCCATTCTTAAATTATGGGTTTTGGTTCATTATAAATGTACAAGTGCCCAGCACATGTGGTAGAACAGTACAATACCTTAAAATTATCCTGATGCTGTATATTTGGGTTCAGATTTGTATTTCTGCCTGTGACTCTTCTTTTAAAATATGTATTAAATGATGTACAATATTTTTGTCTAAATGGTTTAGATTTATATCATCAGCATATACTAAGTATTTAAGTGCATAACTGTATGTATTGTAGTAGATAATTATAACTTCTTATGGAATTATTTTCATCTTGATCTAAAGTATTATTTAACAATTTATGCAGGTTCCATTCCCTCGGAAGTTCCACAGATTCTGATCAATAGAGAACGTCTCAAGCATTTGTCGTTTGATGTAGAGCTTCTGGGAGACTGTGATGTGATTGTACAAGAGCTATGTCGAAGGTAGGACGAGTTGTGCTGTTATATTATTACAAAATGCTTTGTTAGGATGCTTATAAATGTTAATGCGTTAAATTTTAAATTGATATTTCTTCAGACTGTCAATCATATTTTTTTTTAACTGGATCTTTTTTCTCATTGCATGACATAGGACATTGTTGTATAGGACAGTTAAAAGTTAGATGGGAAAATATTATACACTTCTGTGTAAATAAAGAAAATATTTGATAACCAACAATAAGCAGTTAGTCTCAAAAATAAAACATAATTTGACCAATTTGATATTCTTACAGAATTATGGTCAAGAGTATCAGTAATGGAGAGTTGATGATGTAATTAATCATTGATTTCTAATTATTATGAGTTTTTATAGGTTTGTCATTTGTTTTATGGCATTATTTATTACCATTAAAGCTGGTATATATAATTAGCTATATTGTTCACTAATTTATTTGGTTAGTTCTGTCCTATGTAGTTAGCTTGCTTTAATTGGTAATGAAATGACAGTAAATGACCTTACCTGTGGCTCCCTCTAGTTTCTTTAGGCAATTCTGGTATTTAGTAAAGTTTAATTTTTCATGGTCCCACATACCAATCTTTGTCAAATATACTTCGAAGAGATCATTTTATAACTATTAACAACACTGTTAATGTTTATACAAATTTAATATATGATTTTTTATTGTAACTAATAAATAATGACACACACACACACACTAACTGAATGTTTATACGTTTTTGTAATATCAAATATATTAATTTTCAGTTCATGTACTAGGATCAAATGTTTCTTAGTCAAAGTTACAAAAGTGGTGACACAGTCAAGGAATAAACAGATCCCAGAAAGCAGAATTATTTCTGTAACCATCTTTTATTTAATTACTCTAGATTATTGATTATAGTAGATCTGGTGCAGCTAGGTTGTAGGTAAAAAGTAAAAAAAAAACGTTTGTACATTTAGGCTTTATAAAACACACACACAGTAGTTTGTTTTCAGAAGTAAATGTCCGAATAAAATTTAAGTTAATAACAAAAAAAAAGGTTAAATTTTTGTTGATGAAGAACTAGATGATAACTAAATCCCTTACGTCTGAAGGATTATAATCCTGAAGACTAGTTTTCAATACCAGTGGTAGGCACAAGACACATACTAGATGATAACTAAATCCATTATGTCTGAAGGATTATAATCCTGAAGACTAGTTTTCAATACCAGTGGTAGGCACAAGACACGTATACCTAAATTTGAAGCTTTGTGCTTAATAACAACACATAAAATCAAATCCCCCACCCAATGATTTCAGATGGCTTTATTAATTTAAACAGCACTTAAATATTGTGAAGTATAGGCTGAGTTACAAATGTAGCTTTGAATGAAAGCAAAAGTACATTATTGAATTATCTAATTAAAAACATGTTTCTTCTAGTTAATTATAGAACTAGAGGTTGATTCAGGTTATGAATATTCAAATTTTCTTAGTATTTTTTGGTTAAATGTTGATATTACTTTAAAATATATATACACACATGTTATTTCGACTTTCTATTTCGCCCTCAAAATACTTGTAGAGCTTGACTTCATACAGAAGTTAGTATCTAATTGATTAAATTCTTGTAACGGGATGGTACTGAATACTCCAACAATGACGACCTGAATTTACAATATTGAAACATATAGTGTTGTTTTTAACTAGATTTTAGAGGCTTTAATTAAAGTTTTTATTGTATTTTTTTAATTGTTCTTTCTTTGATTTTAAGTTGATCAATTTTGTTATATCTGAACTCTTAAGTCATATCTTTAATTTTTTCAGTCAAAGATAAAATGACCTTTTTTTAATGGTTTAATCACTTGTTGTTAAGACTAAGTTTCTACTTTCTTTTGTACTTTCCTAAGGTTTTATTATAGTTTGTGAGTTTAAATTCTTAATGGAATAACTTGTGCCGTAAAAATAAATGTTAACAGTACCAGATCCTGTGTTGAGTTTTAAAAAAAAGCTGAAGAATCTTGGCAGTAAAGCATAAACTCATTAGCAAGTGTCAAATTAGAATTGTAATAAACATGAAGTGACGTGAAAATATAAAGAAGGTTCTTACATTCTCCAACTATCAGTTATGTATTTATATCATAACTACAGAAGTTATTATATACTTCATTAACAATCAGTCATGTATTTATATCATAACTACAGAAGTTATTATATACTTCATTAACTATCAATTATCTAATTATTTCATACGTTCAAGCCTTAAATCATTGAGTACTACTGTATTTTTTACTTTGAATGCTCACCCGACCTTAATGAGTTAGTAGAATGTTAATTTAAGCCTCTTCTACCTGTGGTAGCTGTAGACAATATCAGGGAGACTGGAAGAGACAAACATTGTTGTTTCTAAGTGGGAGCTGTAACTTTAGCAAGCTCTTACAATGTTGTTAAAGTCATGGAGTTATTGCCTGTTGTTAAAGTCATGGAGTTATCGCCTGTTGTTAAAGTCATGGAGTTATCGCCTGTTGTTAAAGTCATGGAGTTATTGCCTGTTGTTAAAGTCATGGAGTTATTGCCTGTTGTTAAAGTCATGGAGTTATTGCCAGTTGTTAAAGTCATGGAGTTATCACCTGTTGTTAAAGTCATGAAATTATCGCCTGTTGTTAAAGTCATGAAATTTATCGCCTGTTGTTAAAGTCATGAAATTTATCGCCTGCTGTTAAAGTCATGAAATTATCGCCTGCTGTTAAAGTCATGAAATTATCGCCTGCTGTTAAAGTCATGAAATTATCGCCTGTTGTTAAAGTCATGAAATTATCGCCTGTTGTTAAAGTCATGGAGTTATCGCCTGTTGTTAAAGTCATGGAGTTATCGCCTGTTGTTAAAGTCATGGAGTTATCGCCTGTTGTTAAAGTCATGGAGTTATCGCCTGTTGTTAAAGTCATGGAGTTATTGCCAGTTGTTAAAGTCATGGAGTTATGGCCTGTTGTTAAAGTCATGGAGTTATGGCCTGTTGTTAAAGTCATGGAGTTATCGCCTGTTGTTAAAGTCATGGAGTTATCGCCTGTTGTTAAAGTCATGGAGTTATCGCCTGTTGTTAAAGTAATTGCCTCTTTTATACATACTTGAATATTCCTGTCAAATAAAAATAAAGGTTGGAAAGTTACACACACACACACACAAAATAAAAGATAAAGCCCAATATACTATTTATATTACTAGGACATCCATGTAATGTTATTTTCTTGATACTGTTTTAGATATATTTAACAATTATAAAAAAATCAATCCCTTCACACACACACACACGAATAATGTGTCCTGTTGTCTGCTGTTTTTTGTTATTGTTTTTATGTTTATTCATTGGGATTGGTCAGCCAGAAAATAATTTAGGGGAGTTCATTAAAATTAAATGAAAAAACTTAAAGTAATGTATAAAATGCCTTGGTGTACTGTGCTAGCCTAATGTTTTTGAATATTTTGTGTGTTATTAGACTTGGTGATAGCTGGTCTGAGATAGTAGAACAGGACACACCCATGCAAGAGCTCACTGATCTCCCAGAGTATCATCCAAAACAACATCCACCCACATCACCAGCACCAACATGTAGTGAAAGCGTACCTCCAGAGTGTTCTTTGCATTCCAGTGAAGAAGCTGAGGCCAGCTCAAAGGTGGGAGAAAACTCGGCTTCTAACAAACCTAACGGTTGGCTTGGTAGCTGTCAGCTGTGTAGCACGCAACCGTTTACGGAAGAGGAGAGCACGTGCAGTGAGTGTAACGAACTGTCCAACATCCATCTGGAAGACAGTCAGGATGGTGCTCTACCAGGATCTGATACATCCTACCAGTCAAACCTTGGTGATAAAGAGTTGGAAGATCTACAAGCATATTGGCATTCAAAGCCCACCGAATCATTGTCTGCCAAACTACCAGGTTAAAAAAAAAGAATTTTGTTATATCATTTGTATTAAAAGCATATAGCGAAAGTTCAGTAAAATATTAGTAATTGTAATAGATATGTGATGCTTTTATAACCCATGAAGAAACACTACATTTCGGAACATCTCAAGTTTGTGCTGTGCTTCTGTTTTGTTACTGGGTTACTCCGTAGCTTACTGTTTATAATGAATTACCTATCATGGTTTATTCTATCATCCCAGATGAAAAATTAAGATCTGGTTGAAACTTGTAAAGCAGAAAAGGAAAAAAAACTTACAATATTTTCCTTTTTCTTTTTGCAATGTATCAATATTATCTTTTTTTTTTTTTAACTTAAACATTAAAGCAGGTTTTTTTGAGAAACTATCAGTGCACAAAATAATCTCCCAGAATTCGGTAAGGCCCTTTGCGATTGAACGAGTTGTAAAACTTAAATGTTATACTACTTCAAAGCACATTTGGAAAACATCAACACCTTCGCCAGCAGTCATTAACACTGTCTCTTGGAAGTAAAATAATACAGCTCCTGTTCGATCACTTAAATTATGATATATTAACCTTGTGATCTTAATAAAAACAGTAAGATGGTAGAAAACGAGGCCTTCTAGGATGCCCGCTTTTAAAACACTAGTAAAACTAAAACTAATCAAAATATTTATTTTCACCTTCCATTTCACACATTGTAAGTAATGTACATTGAGAATCGTAACATGTACTATGAAAGTGGTTTAGCCTGAGCTTAGAAAAATTTTTCCTTTATAGCTACATTTGTTTGTTGTTTTTAAAATTATGTGAATTTCTTATGTTAATACTTACTTTTTTTTTTTTTTTTTTGTCCAGTTTGTAACTTGAATATAATTTTCTGTTCTAGATCACAGCTTCTTGTTCATAGCTCCAAGTCGTTATATATTTCACGGAGCGGAAGAATATCTAGAAAACAGTAGTGATGTGGATAGTTGCCAAGACAACGATCAGTTTTCCGAGTCAGACAGTGAGTCCTCGTCACAGTCGCCTCCTCACCGAGGAGGAGGACAGTGAGGAACCTTGCAGTGTAAACCCATCACTTTTGAAAGGACCACAAGCAAAAATCCAGTTAATTTCACAGAAGAGCAGAACATAATAATTGAAGGTGGAAATTGTGGGTAATTACTCAGTTTGTGAATCCCACTGTAAAAACTCTAGAAAGGTTGTTTCAGTGTTTGTTTATATGCATGTTAATGTATACATACAGCTCAAAAACAAGGATAAGAACTTCTGCTGCATCTGGAATGTAGTTTAATTGGATGAAAATGTATGTTAAAGTGAGATCAGTTCCAGATGAGTAAGCTTTGATAAATAATTTGTTAGGAAGTAAAGCATCAGAAGGTTTTTTTTTTCTCTTGTTGTATGATAAGAACAATGACTTATCAGCCTTTCTGACCAAAGTTTCTGTAAATGAATAAAGTGTGCAATATCCTGAAGACAATCTGATTTATAACTTTATTGATTATCTTTAAAAAAACGTGATTGTTTTGTCAGTAGTTATGTCCTTCACAAAACGTATAAGGAACTCAATGCAATAGTAGTAATTTCTATGTTGTCCAGGAAAGTGTTTTTTGTTATTTTTCAAATGTGCTGTGCGATTAATAGATTAGTTTATTGTGTTTACTAAAAATAATATTTTGAGTAAGTGTTGTGTTCGAAGGGTTGCATGTTTTTTCTTTTTTTTTTTTTTTTTTTTTTTTTTTTTTTGTTCTCTCCTTTTATCTCGGTGAAAACTGAATCCTCGTGGATCCAAGTTCAGCTGCTTTCTTATTTAAACTAATTTATGAATCAGTTTAGATATCAGGTCTCCAATGACAATACACTTCTTAAATTTTTAGGCAGTTTTACTTCTTCACAGAAAAAAAAAAGTCCAGAACTATTTGATTTACAAAACAAACAAAAAAGTCAAGAACTATTTGATTTACCAAAAAAAAAATTCCAGAACTATTTGATTTACAAAACAAACAAAAAAATCAAGAACTATTTGATTTACAAAACAAACAAAAAAGCAGAATTTCCTAATCTTCTTGAAGGCTACGATTTTTTTCCAACGAGAAACTTATAATTAACCCTCTGACAATAGTATACCAAATGTCATGACGACTCTGAAACCTTGTTTAAAAAGATAAACTCTAACTAAACATCTAATTGATGTAACATAACATAGAACTTTTAGTATAATAACATAAGTTCTCATTTATTTTGTATTAGCTATGTCTCTCTCCAGTGGTTAGGTTTGTGCATGCCTCAGTGATAATGTTAAATTGTTGGTAGAGAGAGAGAGAGAGACAGGTAACAACATAAGTTCTCATTTATTTTGTATTAGCTATGTCTCTCTCCAGTAGTTAGGTTTGTGCATGCCTCAGTGATAATGATAAAATGTTTGTAGAGAGAGAGAGACAGGTAACAACATAAGTTCTCATTTACTTTGTATTAGCTATGTCTCTCTCCAGTGGTTAGGTTTGTGCATGCCTCAGTGATAATGATAAAATGTTTGTAGAGAGAGACAGGTCATAATACTATAAAAAGAAAGATGTGATCAGGTTTAAGATAATTCTTTTAAAATAATTATATGTCCTCCGGTTTAAGATTTTTTTTTTTTTGTGATTAAAATTTTTTGCTGACTAAAAATTTACATCGTTATGTTTTCTTTTCCTTTTTCAGGCATTAGTAGGTTAAGTATCTACTTCATTTGGAAGTGATCTTTTATTGGTGTCTTGTTAAGTTAGCAGTTATTAAGATTTTATTGATGTATTACTTTCCTCTTTTGATAGTGAGATGAAACTTGTACCACGTTATAAGAGAAAAGCTAAATGAGTAGGTAACCACAGTGTGTTCATTGTAGTATTTATGTACATTCATTATATGATCTTTTTCTTACTTGTTGCATTAGAGTGTCGTAGTAAACAATAAAAATACAAACTTGTACATAATTTTTATATCATTCCCAGCTTAATGAGGAGGTAAGACTATTTTCTAAGTGTTGAAGAAAAAAAGTATGATTACAATTTTTGAAATGAACATAAATTGTGATTACGTTTTAATTTTTTAATGGGGATTAGTTGGCTTCTGTTGTTAGATATCTTTTTTTAAGGGTTAAATAAAAATATTTTGTTGTAAGTATTCATGTAAAATTGATTGTGTTTAAAGTCGTTTTTAATCCAATCGGTCCACCAGATGGTGGATTAACTTAAGTGATAAACAAGGAAAAGAGATTATGTGCTGTTAAGTAAACAGAAAATTTGGAATTGTGTGCCGCAAGCTGCACGCAGAAGTGGAATTCTACATATTGAACATAAAGGTTAATTTACTCATGCATACTGAGCGTAGAAGTGTTTTATTGTATTCTCCATACTGAGCATTACGGTAAGAGTTTTTTAGTTATGTTCTGTGTACCGAACATAAAGATGGTGTCATTTTCTGTGTGTAGAATATAAAGATAGGATTGTAATATGAAAGTGGGGTTTATTCTCTCCATTGAACGTGATGGGGACTATGTTTTGAGTGACTACCAAAAGGATATAATTATGTTCTGTGCACTAAACACAAAATGGGACTCTGTGTTGTGTATACTTAACATGGTGGAGGGATTACGTTTGTGTATTGAACAAAAATGTGGGGTTCCGAGCAGTGAACGTAAAGTTGGGATTTTGGTCTATGTACTAGGCAACTAGGTGAGATTATAATCTGTATATTGAACTAGATAGAACATGAGATTATGTGTGCGTTATTTCTCTTGAACAAGAAAAATGCTGTTCTTCATATTAAGTTATTAGCACCGAACAGGAATATGTGATATATCCAAGCACAAGTTACGAACAGGAAAGAGGAATTATTTTCAGAACAAAATAACGTGAGAAGTCACATTGTGGTTTTTACACGGTAGAACAATTCTTTGAATAAATGTACACCAAACAAAAATAACTTATATTAAAAAGAACAATTTCATGAGTTTTTTTTAATTTACCGTTAATTAAAGTCATCAGTGTAGCTTAAATAAGGCTCCGGGAACTTCATATGTAAATAAATAGTTGTCATGGAGTAACTTCCCGTGTTCCATGTGTGCTAACAAGCCTCGGAGAATATTTAAATAAGTTACAATGTTTACTACTTCTCCAGATGAGTTAGATATTAGAAATTTCTCAACAACTAGCAATTGACAAATACGAAGTTGGTGCGATGAATCCTATTGACACCCAAGTTGAAGCGACCAATTTTTAAGGAAGAAACAAAAGTGTCAGTAAATTAAATTGTATATAGGTCCATAAATCCCTGAAAGTTCTTATTAATAGAAGTATAAGGTGTAATAATAATAATATAATAAGAGGCCAACTCATGATTTAAGCAAGACCACTTGCTGAAGATAACCTAGATTGGGTTAGGTAATTTTTTTCAAGTTTCTTTTTTTTTTTGTAAGAAATACAAAATTTTTATTACTAAGCATTTGAGTATTTGACTAAATTCTTCTTAGTTTCATTGACTTAACTCATTATTTATTTACGCATTTTGCAATTTAATTCTTTTCTTTTTTTTTAATTTTTGTTCAATCATAAAATTGTTCATAGAGTTTATATTGAATTTTATGTAAAAAAAATTATATATATATGCCTGTAATTGTTCAAAGTACTAATAAAGTTTTTCGTCTTAGGTGATTGTGAGCTAGATAAGATGTTTGTAGTACAAAAATCAAAGTATTAACTTTACCCAGTGGAAGAAAATGTTTCGTGAAAACTTTAAAAAAAAACTATTATTCTTGTAAATCTGCATATGTTTTGTAATTTGTCATGCAAAAGGTATTACAAGAAAGATATCTCGTGTATCAACGGAACTTTACAACTGAGTTTCACACATTTAGTTTATGGTATAGGAGATTTAAAACCAAATGATTGTGTTGTATGACGGAAGTTTTATGGAAATAAATCTCGGCAACAGCGTTATTAACTACACTGTTATCTTGGAAACTTTTCTTTTGCGAGGAATTTTTTTTGTTTTTTTTAATAATCGATATATATCGGATACGATGAGAGGCAGAATAAAGTGAATGAGGAAGTATTATTGTAGTTTTTATCTTTTTTTTTTTTAGCTAACTCGGTAGAAAAACCATTATTTACTTTTTTGTATGAATATTATTAGTGTTTATAGGTGAAAAAAAAATTTGAAAAGTACAAATTAGTTGATTCTCAAACTCAGTGTTTTAGTTTATGTACTATTCTTTGGCATGTTGTGTACAATACAATACAGAGTATTTTAAGTATTTACAGCAGAATGTAAGTGTATGTAAATTCTTGTAATGTGAGTTTGAATGTATTCTAGTGTTAGAGTAGATTCTCAAACCCATGGAACCAGTAGACTTTGTATATAAAAATAGTTCAGGCATCTCCAGTTGTGTTTCTTCTGTTGCATTTCTTTATAACACCACGTGTAAGAAAAAAAAACTATTTCAAGTAGAGATTGAAAGGTACACTTAAGCTCCAAATACATATCGCACTAACGAAAATTGGCCCAGCATGGCCAGGTGGTTAGGGAGCTCGACTCGCAATCTGCGGGTCGCGGATTCGAATCCCCGTCCCACCAAACATGCTCGCCCTTCCAGCCGTGGGGGCATTATAATGTGATGGTCAATCCCACTATTGGTTGATAAAAGAGTAGCCCAAGAGTTGGCAGTGGGTGGTGATGACTAGTTGCCTTCCCTTTAGTCTTGCACTGCTAAATTAGGGATGGCTAGTGCAGATAGTCCTCTTGTAGCTTTGCACGAAATTCAAAACAAACAAACAAACACTAATAAAATCACCAAAAAACTGATTTTCCATTCATTTTTATAAAAGATAAAACACTGGATCACTTGGACTAACAAATATTAAGAAGCTTGTAATAGCACTGTGATTAAAGTTTGTTGCCTTGTCTTTCACCTCTAATTTTAATTTCTCTTCTAAAAAAAAGGAGGTGTTATACAAGTGTTAATTTTTGAATATAATGTACTCATTTTAATAAGATATTTCAAATCAATACCAAAACTTGATTAATCTATCAGATATTAGAAGTTTAATTAAATAGTTTATACATTTTGAGGAGATAAAGTAATTCAGCGCAGAGTGAACTAAGAGGTTTAACAGTAGATCAGTTACGTAGTTAAGTTAATTGTAAATCTAATGAAAGGTCAGCGTTTTATATTAGCAAAAATATCTTTAGTTCTTGACTTACATTTTTTCGAATATTTTTATTGAAAGTTTGGAAGAGTCGACATTTTTTTTTTTTCATGTACAGAGAGGGATTAAAATTAGTATTGTGAAAATTGAAAATCAATATATATGAATGTGTCATTTACAGAGTGGAGTGAAATATAAGACTTGTATTGAGTTGTTTACTTAAAAACTGTTCTACTAACTTACTGATATTTCTCTGAAACTTCTGCAAAGTTTTTGTATAAAATAACTGTTTCTTTATACTTATTTTGCTTCAAGCTTATATTTGTATGTTGGATATATATTGATAAAGTGAAGTACGAGAATGTCATAACTGGAAAAAAAATTAAGACTTTGCTATAAATATAAAATACAAATATTTCTATAGTATTTATTTTCCCATATTAAACACTGGGTAGATTTTAGTGTTGAGAGGATTCAAAGAAGTCTCCAGTGGGTTACCTTGAAGAGTACCGGAACTAAAGTTAAAATTCTTTAACTAATAACTTAAGGGAGTGCCCGGCATGACCAGGTGGTTAGGACGCTCGACTCGCAATCTGCGACGGGTTCGCATCCCCGTCCCACCAAACATGCTCGCCCTTTCAGCCGTGGGGGCGTTATAATGTGATGGTCAATCCCACTATTCGTTGGTAAAAGAGTAGCCCAAGAGTTGGCGGTTGGTGGTGATGACTAGCTGCCTTCCCTCTAGTCTTGCACTGCTAAGTTAGGGACGGCTAGCGAAGATAGCCATCGTGTAGCTTTGCGCGAAATTCAAAACAAACAAACAAAAACTTAAGGAATGTTTTATAACAACCAATAAATGTGATTTTTGGTTTAATACTTTTTAAATACAAGTCGTTAGAAGAATTCTCCTACAAGAGAACGTGTGGCGAGTCAAAAATATAATTTATTCTCAGACTTCGTTTGTTGAATTTTATGCAAAGATACTCTAGAGCATTCTGTCTAGCCATCCCTAAGTTAGAAGTGATAAGCTAGAGCCAGTCAACATCACCCACCGTTGACTTTTGGACTACTACTTACCAAAGAATAGAGGGAATGACCGTCACGTTTTAACATCCCATAGTTCTGTGGGGATTCGACCACACACAGATTGCGAGTTGAGTGCTTAACCACTAGGCCATCGTTATTGTAAAGCTTGCCGCAACAACAGCTGTTGGATCATAATACTGGAGTAATATGTGATGAGAAAACATAACTGTCTAGAAATCAAAATACATTTGGGGAGGGGGATAACTGAAACAATTGGAGTCAAAGTTTCCCTGATAATTATACACAAGTATCTGTTCACCGTTCAAAAGGAAACGAGCCACCAGTGCTCCCCCCGGCATGCGACTTCTACATATGTTTCATAGTCAGAGTATATAACCATAATGACGTGGTATTTTCACACATGGGGTTCTCCTTTTTTTTTCGTCACACGCTCTGTATAGGAGCTTTAGTTGGGGTATGTAATTAAATATGGAAGTCGGGTATTACGTAGACTAGCATATGGAATACCATCGCGATTATATATAACTTAAATGTTTTTCATTGAGAATATTCTACAACCTGTGTTACTACTTACTACTAAATGCTACAGCTACCAGGATCTCCATTGATGTCTGTGTCACTACCTACAACTAAATGCTACAGTTACCAGGATCTCCAGTGATGTCTATGTCACAACCTACTAAAAGATGCTACAGTTACCAGGATCTTCATTTGTGTTTATTTCACTACCCACTACAAGATGTTGCAGTTATCAGGATCTCCATTGATGACTATGTCACTACCTCCTAATCGATCCAACGACATGCTATGGCTACCAAGGTTTCCATTGATGCCTGTGTCACCATCTACTACAAGACGCTACAATTACCAGGATCTCCATGTATGTTTATTTCACTACCCACTACAAGATGTTGCAGTTATCAGGATCTCCATTGATGACTATGTCACTACCTTCTAATCGATACAACGACATGCTATGGTTACCAAGATCTCCATTGATGTCTATGTCACTACCTACAACAAGACGCTACAGTTACCAGAATCTCCATTGATGTCTGTGTCACTATCTACTACAAGATGTTACAGTTACCAGGATATCCATTAATGTCTATGTCACTACCTCCTAATCGATCCAACGACATGCTATGGTTACCAAGGTTTCCATTGATGTCTGTGTCACTATCTACTACAAGATGTTACAGTTACCAGTATATCCAGTGATGCCTGTGTCACAACCTACTACAAGACGCCACAGTTACCAGGATCTCCATGTTTATTTCATTACCCACTACAAGATGTTACAGTTACCAGGATATCCATTAATGTCTATGTCACTACCTCCTAATCGATCCAACGACATGCTATGGTTACCAAGGTTTCCATTGATGTCTGTGTCACTATCTACTACAAGACGCTACAGTTACCAGGATCTCCAGTAATGACTATGTGACTACCTCCTAATCGATCCAACAAGATCGTAACTACTCTTCTGTAACTACAACTCTTTTGTCACGATGGTCATGTGATACTGCTAACTAAAAGCACGTGATGGTTACGTGAAATAAATATGTTAACATATTTTGGACAATCATTTGAAATAGAGACTCAAACATTCAAACAAAACTTTAAAAATGGGTAATGATCAGTCTTTCCTTCATGTTCCGAGAAATTTTTTGATACCTTACTCGGCTTCACCACTAAGCACGTGGTCGTTTTCATATATCATTATAAAGACATCGACTACTAAGTGACAGCATGAGCATACTGCATCCATTTTGCCTCTAGGGGATAAACTGAGGGTCAGATTATACAAAAGTGTTGATCTTACTATTGGTTCCAACTTTCATAGAAGCTTACATTTTTGTCGCTTCTCTAAACCTTTAATAAGTATAATACATATTCAG